CGTTTTTACTCCAAATGGTCTGGCTATATTGTAGTGAAGTACTGAGGATACTGTATCTTCCTCTACTGTACCAATACCATCGTCGACTAGTCATGTATACAGTATAACTAATCATGTGAGACTATAGTGAACTCTGATTCTGTCTGTTTAAGGTCTTAACTTTTTAATACACCAGCAAGACTGACCTACATTTGCAACGAAAATCAAATTTACGCCAAGATTTCAGCCTGAATGAAGCCGTAATGATTCCAGAGCGATAACAGGAGAGGAATTTACAGTGTTACGTCCCTGCTTAGGACTTTCAATCAAACTGTTTCGATTAATATTGTTCATTTGATTTATTATTTTTGTTATTTGTCCCTTAGGTTCCTAATGGAACATAGGGCTTCAGTAGCACGTCTCCAATACTCTCTGATCTCTGGAATCTTTTGAACCCATCTCCACGACAGCCCACAAGCCCTCATTTCTTCCTCGCACGGTCTCCTCCATGTCACCCTCATCTTGGACCCCCCAACTCGTCGCTACCCATCAGGGTTCCACTCGAGGGCGTGGCGTGGCGCGTGATGCCCTGAAGAGTCTATTCAGTGTATGCCCAATCCATCCCCACTTCATTCTGCATATTCCTTGAACGATGGGTTGTTGGTTGGTTCGTTCTAAGAGTTCATTTTTGCTTGTTATTATTATTATTCTGGCCATCTGAGCTTCACTAAAGAGCCAGAGTAGACAGTTGTTGATGAATATCTCTAGTTTATTGGAAATGCCCTTCCTAACACGCCAAGTCTCTCAACCATCACATAGAAGCACTCACTTGACTGGCATTAGTGTTGAAAATCCGGATGTTGGTCAGGCTTCATGCTGAGTGCAGAAGACCTCCACACTGGTTCCAGGTTAATGTAGGAAGGCCTGTCTTGTTGTATTTCCGATGCTGGCTGGCTTTGATATCCTCGTGTGTGCCGCCATCTGTAGTTGAAATGGTGCTGACTAGGTGTGTGTAGGTGAAAGAGGCTACTTCCTTTACGTTTCTCCTGTTGATGGTGATTGGAGCTTCTTGTTGTTGTTGTTGGTGGTGGTGATAGTGGGGGTTTTGGTGTTGGTTGTGTATCATCATCACCTCTGTCTTCTCTACGTTCACTTGAAGGAAGTCCCGTCTTCTCTGCCCTGCCTCACCTCTTCTGCCAACTTGTTGGATTTTGCCTGTAAATCTTGAAGTTTGTGCAACAAGACACTAGACACAATTCATCATCGGTGGAATCGAAATCTTCTAGGATCGTTTCCCCGGTCCAGAGAGCGTATCCCTCTCTTCTCGCTCCCCACTGTTTGTTGCATGATCCAGTCCACTCCAGTTGACCACAATCAGGAAGATGATCGGTGATAGTAGACAGCCTTGTTTACTCCTGTCTTCACTTCAAATGTTCATTTGATAGTAATACCTAAATTCTTGCGACCAAGTATAAATTGAAATTACTTTTACTTCTTATGGTTAGACAGTTTAGAGTACGCTATGTGAAATAAAATACAGGTAATCAAACATTTCACAGTCCTATAGTTTCATAGTGTTCCTAATAACTATTCACTGGCAAACTTTGATCGGAAGACATGTAACCTGACAGGAGTAGCTCATTAAAAACCTTTTTGAAGGGACGTTTATTACCGTGATGCAGAGTTTACTGAACTATAACAGTCTTGAACAACAACACGCCTTGTCTGACTGTGTGAATAATTCATTGAACTGATTTTGTCTCTTTTCTCCAGATGAATCTTGTATGTGAAACGGAGAAATACTTATGAAACCCATAAAGTTCATAATCTCATGGATACCTTTCGAAAGAAAACTACTTTGACAACAGATATGAAACAACGTTGATAAACTGAAATTTAATTTAATTTCTAGAGAACGTTGCACAAGTCTACAGCCACTACAACCTTAGTGACTGAACTAAAATGCCATTTATACACAAATAAACGTGACTGAGGATTAAGGAAATCTCTGTTTATTTTGTTTCCGAGATCTTCGTCATTTTTCAAGGACGATTCAATGTCATCGACATAGAGGCTAAATTAGAACTTCCTGAAATCCACTACAAAAAACCAAAAATAACTCAGAATTTTCGGGAACAAACTGATTTCACTATCGTATTCATCACAGAATGACATCAGCTGGAGAACATTGGAAAATCTGAGACCATCAGATAGCTATTTCATCCTAATGTGAGGCTATTCAGCAACTCTGTGTCAGTCCTGAAGCCATTTATCTTGATTGCCATTGAAATATCTGCTCATAAACTTGTCTTTGTTTAATACATGTTTGTCATTTATGACGAAAGAGAAAGGATTATTCATGTACAAAATTATCTATTGCATCATAAATTAGGAAAAAAATATTGCTAGAGATAAACAAACATGGAACGACTCATGAAAGACAGTCGGCAGTATACGTGATTGAGGCACTTTGAATAGGTAAAAGTGTAACGAAACAGAATCGCTTCGTAATTAAAAGTTGAATTCAAAATTTCTTAGTTAATTAACTTTGATAATTAAAGAGAACATGTTGAACGAACTGGAGATTACTCGCAGCCCCCCTCCCTCCCTGGAAATCAGTGATACTGGTTGAACTTCATTAGTTTTTCTAAACTGATTTTCTATACGATGAAACTATCTGGTTAATAAGACAGTATAAGATTCATTTGGTACCTCATAACTTGAAAGCTGGTAACCCTTTCAAAAGAGTCATATGTGCTAAGTAGCTTAGGAATTTCACAAAATACCAGTCTACTACCAAGACGAGCGTCTTCAGATATTGTATCCTGTGTACTGAGTGCTGATTGTGAAAAAAAATATGATGAATTGCAGGGTTGTCTGATTAAGCATGGTAACCTTACTGTAAACTTTATGAAGAGCGCTGTAAGTACTTAATAATGAAATGCAGTGCTATAATACTTACCGGCTGGCGATAGATGCGTACACACAACCTAAACCTCCTGGAATCCAATCATGACGTGAACATTTCAGTTTAGAGGTTTGTGGGGACTGATTGATTTCATGGTAGCATTCACTTTAGAATGATGTCAGTTGAGAACGGCTAAAAACCTGGAAGCACTAACGAGGTGGTTCGCAGTAGTATGGCATTTCTTAGCTACTTTCACCCATCGAACTTAGGACCTTCAGGTTTCTCAGCGAATACGTCAACCATTCAACACTAGGTCCTCACTAGGAGACCTGATGACCCTGAGTTAGATCCTTGGAGGGATCATGAGCATGCTTTCCTAAAGACTTCCATACTGGGAGTTTGTGATGAATACTACTTCGAAAATGACCAGATTAATTTACTAGCAAATGTTCTAGGAGTGGTGAAGAGCATTAAGAACTCGAAATATGGCTGTTCGGATTAATTTATCAGCTCAGGTGGCGAATTTAGGCCCCCTGACAAACAAAATCCCATCCCAGATCACAACTTGATCAAAGCAGAACAAAAGACTGAGGAAAACATGCCCACTTCTCAAAGGTGATATCACTCGAATGACAAAGTAAGTAAACTAGGTTAAACAGAACAAAAACTTGTTACATCTTTAAATGTGTCTCTTATGGAAAAATTAGAGTAATATATAAGCAGTCATACTAATGGTGAAAAGCAGTTTACCTAGGTGTCTGTTTATACCTAGTTCAGATAAGGCAGAAATACAAGTTCTTGACCATGATATAAGTTTAGCTTCATCAGTAGCCTCTCCACCAGTAAATACAAATGAACTCTTTCTAAATATCCTATTATTCTCAGTGTATTCTAATCTGTGTAGCATAACTCATGTGTGGTAGAATCACAACGTGAGCACTATGGAGGTTAGGCATAGTGCTAGATGGTGAGAATTAATCACTCAATGAGACTATGAATTTTTCCCTGAATGAGATGACTTTGACATACTTTTCACATATCAAGACACTGCTCACTTCAATGTATCATGTTAGGTAAAATACCAAGAATGATCAGACTAAAAAGTAGCTTCAGATTATGAAGTCTTTGACCATTAATTCGAATTGTGTACAGTGATAGAAACCACCCTACCTAGTGTCCTTGAGAAGATAGAAATCAGTGGCTGGAGGTCTCCTGTACAGTTATTCAGAATTGATTTGAAAAGCACAGAACGACCTTCCGAAACGGAAAAGATCCAGAGTTATAATGAAACTGGTACTAGAAATACAAAGCATACTAACCAGAGTCTTTATACACTGAACTGTTAGAGTTAGTCATACACCAACTATCAACTTTCCTTAGTCATGGGGTTTTGTTTTTCTAGATGCCATATAATGAAAAATATGTTTTGACTGTTAAAGTTCATATGTGATGTTGACTGTTTTGTAGTAACAGCTAAACAATTCAGAATCAGTATTTCATCCTAACTGAAACCTTTAAGGTGTAGGTATCTGTACTCATATTTTGATGTTTCATCTCAATATTGTACTAACTAATCATCATCTTGTTCATCAGACTGTTATTCAACAAGTTACTGACTCATCCAAAGTGCACTTGACACAACAAGACTAATCGTAATTTCTCATCTTTATCGAATAACTTTCTGACATTTCAGTGATGCATCGACGAAGTAATTCTTTCTGAGTACACCAATCATGGAATCAAAGTTCTTGGATTAGAAAACAAGAAGTTAATTACCTTCTAATGATCAGTCAGCGTAAGTAAATCAAATCATATGGGAGATCACTTGGGGCTACAATTGCGTGGTATTTGGTGACGAGGTTTCGATTCTCTCAAGAGACATCAGTCCACTCAATATTACTGATACACCCTACTGATGAATGTCAACATGTTTGGAGTTTATGCCAAATTCCAGCAACTATCTAACATCATTCAACGATAAGAACAATCTTCATTCTTGTTGAGATTATTTTCAAATAATTTTTCATTTTTATGATAAAGTTTAAACAAAGTTTTTTTTTCATGTTTTTGTTGACATTTCACAGACGGAGACTACATACTCTAAATAAAAAGCATGTCGATCAAAAGAATAGATGATATTTTGCTTTACACACTGTGCATAACTCTTTTAATCTTTACTCCAGTCAATGCTAGAAGCTTAAAATGTAATACAGCTGCTTGCGAGTAAGTTTATACCCATGATACTATTAACAGATTAGTATTTTGTCTTAAAATATATATCTTTCACTGTTGACTACCAGTTATTGATTTTTTTTAATGAACTCATCTTTATGATCTACGAAGCAGAACGGCTTAAAGCCAGTTTATCATCCTTAACAGCATTGTCGTGAAGGTAATACTGATTGTGAATAGATAAGAACTGAGTCTATCAGATTCGATACCATTCATTATGGTCGAAGTAAGAGTCTTTATGGGATGGATGAAACCCTCATCTTACCTCACTTGCAAATACGACAACATATCGGGATATAAGTTTATTGAATTTAAGGCTGATTGGATATATCCATATTCATGGTAGATGTCAATTAAGTATTTATTCCCGCTGCTGACTTTAACATACATACTAGTGAACCCAAGTCGGTATATTAAATGAAAACATATCGAAGAGATTGAGCCTTCGTCTAGTTGTATATGTTTTCTTATTTAGGAGATATTTCAGAAATACACCAGTCAACGTCATAAGTACCCCATTGAAAATTTAAGGGATACTAGATACACAGAAGGTGTTTGTAAAGTTCACGGTACCCTATCGATTAGTTAGCAAAGTGACCTCCAAGCTAGGAGGTTCACTTACTCGATACACTTCATAGACCCTAACTGGTTAGAGAAAATAGGAAAGAAGTCTTTTTTAACTTAGGTTTTGTGTTTGTTAACATTTGACCATAGAACATTTCATCAGATTCGAGGGGACTTATATCCTCTGAGAGATGCGAATCGTCGTATGAAGTTAGAGGTATTATCACTAAGCTACCCTGTCCATGAGTGAAGTCTTGGGTACTGGATTAGATTCTCATTCTCGAGTGACAATGAAACAGACAAACAGAAGGAGTAGTAAGGGCATAGCTAATATCCCCAATCGTAGGAGATATATTTATGGATAGTTGGGAAAACATGGACTTACAAACGTTTAGTCCTACACCAAAAATATTGTGGCGATATGTGGATGACACATTCACTACTGTGTTGAAATCGGTACTTATAGACAATTTACTCATGCATATAAACTCAGTAGTAGGTGCAATCCAACTCACTTAGAGGTAGAAAATGAACAAGGAGAATTACCTATGTTGGATTGCAAGATAAAACGAAGAACAGACGGTGGTTTAGATACTACGGTCTACAGAAAACTGACACATTTCAACAGGTATTTAAACTTCATGTCATCTCATCCAATGCCAGTTGAGCCAGGTTTAGTCAGATGTCTAAGTGATAGAGCTAGAAAACTGACTAATCAGTACAAGGACCTAAACAAGGAATCGAAACACGTGAAAGAAGCCATAATGGTTGACAATTATCCTCCGCAGTTTATTAAGCAATTCTTACGGACACACAAAAAACGAAATCATAACAGTAACATGAAAACGAATAACAGCAACAAACATGAGTAGAAAGGAGTTCACAGCCTCCATTGTGTTACCATATAAGGAAGATACAAAGCTGGAATTAGAGTGACATTTAAACCTACAAACTAACTTAGAGATAATCTTTGTCAGCTTGCTTAACGATCCGATATATCCAATTAAGTAAAATAATCCAATCTATCGAATTCCATATAATGACTGTGAGTCAAGTCAATTACATAGGTGAAACTAGCCCGTCTATTCACGGTCAAAGAGATTAGCTGAACATAGGAATTCAGCTAAATATAGAATGACAGACCTAAATAACAACAATAATCTAGAAGAAATGAAATTTCCGCTGTTGCAATGCATGCATTAACACACAAGCACACAATATACTGTGTGGGATAAAGCTACTGTACTTCAGTCCAATATAATTAGGTGGAGAGAGAGAATGATTACTGAATCTTTGTTCATGGAACCAGCAACGCGCAACACATATATTAGGAATGATGCTACACCTATTACCAGAGATATATTCGAAACATCATCAAGTAAATAATCCTGTATCACTCGCTCTGTGTTATTCATCAAATAAACAAATCTTATATGGAATTAAATTCTACCACAGTGGCCAAGTTTTACACCTATATCAAAGAATGACACAGTTTTATGTAACCTAACTGTCCCAGCAACTTAAATGTTCAGTAGATAAACTGCACTCTGCTTGGATCAGCTATTAGTATTCATTATACCAACATTCTTATCACATTTCTGGACATGAGTTTCAGCCATCAGAGTTTACAAATTGGAAAAATGTAAATTTTACAACCAAATATGTCTAATTTTTACTGAAAGTATTTCGTATAACAATGATAATTTTTGTTTTCTGTCAAAAAGCTTTACATTTCTTTTGTTATATCAGACGATGTAGTTGGTCAGAAGACTTCAGTATGAATGAATGTTGTTCAAATCCAGCTGTTCAAAATGTATGCGAGGCTTGTGATCAAATTTCTGAAACAGAAGCAGAATTGTATAATTGCCTATGTAAGTATCTTTTCTATACTAAAACTGATAATATATCTTTGAAAGGTCAAATGTTTACTTGATTTTGGTTCATGAAAAGAAATCTGATTAATTTTTGTTGTACAATAAAGGATTGGAGTTGATCTCATCCATCTAGGTGAAATATATCATTTCATTATCACCCATAATCTAGAAGACAATATGTGTAGCATTCAATTGAAACCGGATAAACATATTACATCAACTTTTCATTCGACTATCGATAGTAACTTTGTTTTTTTTTAAACAGTCGAAAAATTTGGCACTATAAAGAATAGTCAATGTCTTAATCATGCCATATTAGGAAATACATTTCATTTATGTGGTGAGTCGTCGTGGTGCAACTTGAATTCATCCGAAGTAATTGTTCGATGAACATCAACTGGTAAAAAAATCCATATGAAATGTGTGCAAAGAGTTCAAAGTGAGACCTAAAGGTCCTGAGTTTTCATCGCTGGCAAGATTGTGAGTGTATACTGCTGAGGAGTCTAGTACCAACACGAAACAGACAGACGAAATCAATGCAGAACCTCGTATATAAGTACATCGGTTCAACCTGCCACACTTTACAGATTCATACAAAGAACAACTTGGTAGGTAAGACTGGTATTATAGCAGACAAAAGTGTATGGAAGAAGAGGAAAGTTAAAAAATAAGGTTAGTTAAACTGTTCAATCCATAAAAGCTATTAAAGAGTGAATACATCTGTGCCATTGTAATCGATATATTCAGCCGTCTCATCAAGAGTCCTCAGTCAATGATTTCTATTGTCTCATGGATCCGGGCCAGTTTGTTTACACTTCTCTACATCACTGATATCAGAAGTCAAAGTGTTCATCGACTGGTGTCACGTCTTAATCTGGAGCCTAACTAAACTTCTGACACCATTGGATGTTGAGGTAGGTTGTGGGCTAGGCATGCTCAGCATATATACAAGTCACCTCAGTTGGTCAGGTTTCATGACCTCAACATTAGACTTACCCACTTTGCTATCCAGTAAGCTCAGCTTTTCAAATGTTCTCCAACTGATATCAGTTAATAATGAATCCAAACTTGAAATAGGCTAACAGTTTGAACTTATTTACAAACTGTATTCGATATTAAAAGTTCTCAAAGTTCAGTTTTTTTCGCTTGACCAATTCCATTATCAGTTGGATAGTTATCAAATGATAGTTATACATTCCAATCTATGACAGAAAAGTGATGTAAGTAACAAAATAAATTCATGAATGACATTTATCGAAGTCCTGAATGCCATAAAGCTACTAAAATGCAGGAAAGCAGCAGGATCAGATCGAATCCCGCAGAAGCACGGAGAACAGACGCACTGACAACAGCGGACATGCTCATACCACACCACTATTGCAGAAGGTGTGGAAGGAAGGGAAGGTACCTGCCTATTGATAGGAGGAAGGGATACCTTGTCAAACTCCCAAAGAAAGGAGACCTAAGTGTTTGCAAGAACTGGAGTGAAATCACGCTCCTTTCTCCTCCACCCCAAGCAAAATATTAAGCCGCATCATCCTGGAGAGACTGCAGGATGCGTTGGATTCATAATTATGACCGGACCAGGGTGGCTGGGTTCAGGAAGAAAAAATCATATGGGGATCAATTTGCAACGCAACGCTATGCATCATCATAGAACAGAGTGTAGTATGGAATGTTAGTCAACTTTCTACCTCAACTTCATCGATTTTGAAAATGCCATCGACAGCGTCGATCGAGAAGTAACTTGGCAACTGCTTCAACACTACGGTTTTAATACCACAAACCTTTATCAATCTCAATCCACAACTATATGAAGACGTCACATGCCAAGTGATTCACAATGGAAAGCTCAGTGACGCCTTTGATGTGAAGTGAAGACAGGAGTAAAACAAGGCTGTCTACTATCACCGATCATCTTCCTGATTGTGGTCAACTGGAGTGGACTGGATCATGCAACAAACAGTGGGGAGCGAGAAGAGAGGGATACGCTCTCTGGACCGGGGAAACGATCCTAGAAGATTTGGATTTCGCCAATGACTTATGTCTGATGTCACACAAACTTGAAGATCTACAGGCGAAAACTAACAGGTTGACAGAAGAGGTGAGGCAGGGCAGAGAAGACGGGACTTCCTTCAAGTGAACGTAGAGAAGACAGAGGTGATGATGATACACAACCAACACCACCACCACCACCACCCAACACCACCACCAACAACAACAACAAGCTCCAATCACCATCAACAGGAGAAACGTAAAGGAAGTAGCCTCTTTCACCTACACACACCTAGTCAGCACCATTTCAACTACAGGTGGCGGAACAGACGAGGATGTCAAAGCCAGCCAGCATCGGAAATACAACAAGACAGGCCTTCCTACATTAACCTGAAACCAGTGTGGAGGTCTTCTGCACTCAGCATGAAGCCTGACCAACATCCGGATTTTCAACACTAATGTCAGTCAAGTGAGTGCTTCTATGTGATGGTTGAGAGACTTGGCGTGTTATGAAAGGCATTTCCAATAAACTAGGGATATTCATCAACAACTGTCTACTCTGGCTCTTTACTGAAGCTCAGATGGCCAGAATAATAGGAATAAGCGAGACGGAACTAACACTGGCTGGCAACGAACCAATCAAGAACCTATCGCTCAACAAATACGCATACACTGGCAGATAAGACAACCAGATTTTGTAAGGAGGCGTTACTTGATCTTATGGTATGCAGTTTTTTACTATTGACTGGTTGACGTGTACTGTACTATTCTGTCTATCAAAATACAGTGAGTTATACATTGAAGTATATGACTATCAAACTCATTACCACAAATCAAAGGTTTACTTCTGGCTTTGAAAGAGTTGAGATGTAAGATATAGTCCTAGAAAGGATCAGGAAGGAAAAGGAGAAATCATCTATACAAAAAAGACTTACTCCTAAAATTATAGTCGAAGATCCCATTTGTAACAGTTTTCAAGTACATTCATCAAATCAGCGTTAGATATAAGGAGAAGTCAAAGGATAGCGATGACACACAGACCAAGCTCGAGAACCCTGTATTATCAGTTATTTGATGTTGATTCAGTGAAAGAGGAGAAAAAGATTCTGTTCAAATCGGAACTTATTGACATTGCTGAGCAATACTTGATTTCACCTACTTCAAAGTTGAAAATTTTGTCCAAACAACATCAGACTGACAGATAAAAGCCTCTAAAAGAATGATAAGACAGTGACGCGACGATCAGGCTAATATTCAGGTGCTGTGAAATTGAACAAGCATGATTCTTTTGCAAAAATGAAGCTGGTTCTCGCTGAAAGGATTCAATATCATCATGAACTAATAAGTATCTTGAAGCACTTCTGATGAAAAAGTAGAAGCTAATATACAATGCTACATGAAACAATCTGAAGTGTTTACGAACTCATCTAGCATACATGTTTATACTTCCAAAGGTTGACAGAATTTTTCATTTATCACCAATCATTATTTACCTTAAGATAAAGTTGCTTGTTAGTTAGGCAAGCAGTTGAAACCTATTTGCTGTCATACTGTCGAATTCATCTTGAAATAGACGTCTCAATTTGCTGAAATGATAAGTCAGTTGAATGTCCCTAAATATTCTTTGATGAGATCTTATTACCCATAAAGGTGTCATCATCTGTCAGAATTCTGATTAACTCCTTCTGTAAAGATCTGAATTTAAACGGCACTTAGTGATATATACTATGAATATTCAATTTATGTTTAATAACACTTTATATTATCATGTTGCCTAAGTTAGTCATGAGCAGGTCAATAGGTTCCGTATTAACGGATACATTTGTGACATATCTTTAGCTAATGATCGAAGCAAAGTTACAAATGAATTACATAGGTTTAAAAACCTGAATAAAACTTTGGAACAGTAGATGAAGAGTTTAGTCTAAGCGATTATTGATAACGATTCCAATAGCTTCGTATGCTTAGAAATCGTAAAGTCTACCAAACCATAAATTGATAAGATAATGATTTATTTGTATCACAAAGTCTTTGAAGCTGAGAAATGCGGAAAATCAGGTCAATGTATTATTATTATTTTTCCCTTGGGTTCCTAGTGGAACATACGGATTCAGTAGCACGCCTCCATTCGACTCTCTTCTCTGCACACAAGCTTTCATTTCTTCCTCACATGATCTCCTCTGTGTCGCCCTCATCTCGGACTCCCAACTCGTCTTTTCCCCTTTGGATTCTACAAGACAGCCTGGCATGGCCTGGCGCGTGATATCCTCAGTCGACCTTCTCAGTGTATGCACAATCCATCTCCACTTTCTTCTCCATATTTGTTGGGCGATAGCTTCCTGGTTGGTTCGTTGCCGGTCAGGGTTCCTCCTTGCTTATTATTATTATTCTGGCCATCCGATCTTCAATAACGGGCTTAGGTGGCAGCCGTTAATGAATGTCTGTAGTCTATTAGCAATGCTTTTCGTGAAACACCAAGTTTCTGAACCATATGGCAGCACTGAATTGACTGGATTGGTGTTGAACACCTAGATCTTGTTCTTTGTGCTGAGTGCAGCAGATCTCCACAATGATTTCAGATTAGTGAAAGCCTATCAGTTCTCCTGCTGTGCTGTCCGTTCACAGTTAGGCATTCATGTCGCCCATTAGAATTTTGATGTCGCCATCTGGAGTCTGGTCTAGTACTGGTTGCAGTTGTCAATAGAATTCATCGTTCTTCTTTTGATCTGCATGTTTTGTTGGCGCGTAGCATTGAATGATTGTGACTTTCCTTCCTTTTGATTTGAATCTTGCTGTCATGATCCTGATCCTGGAGGAGACTGGTTCCCACTGCATGAGAGCCTTCGATGTTCTCGGAGACACCATGGTAACCACTCCAAAGCTCAGTGTGCTCGTGGTTGTAGTCTGGGTGACCGAAGTAGATTACTGACTGTTCAGTTGACAGTTTGGAGAGTCCACTTCCATTCCATCTGCTTTCGCAGATTCCTAGTCTAGCACTTCTATGCCATACGTTCTCATTTCGTTTGCAATCTGGACAGCCTTGCTAAGTTCAAACATCATTGCGACATTCCGTCTCCCCACTCTTACTTTCGCTTTCATGGAGAGAGAGAAGACACTTCGGCAAATTGACTTCGCAAAGGCTTTCATCAACCAGTGTCATTTCATCTTTCCGATTCCAGTGTGGAATAGGTTTGTTTTTATTTTTTATATTATCTTTGTGCTCTGAAGTTTGTTTAGCGGCTGGACTGGTTTTACGGGATAGGGGTAGGGTTGCTAGGCATGTATCCAACCTTCCCTCTTTACCCGGGCTTAGGACCAGCTAGTAATTAGTGAACTAGTTAACAAGGCGAGGTTCAGGTCAATCTAGGTGTTTTTATATCACGGGTTCACTTCCGTCAGAGATTTTTTGCACACATTACTGTGCTTCAAACTGCGGTAATCAAAATGATTGGTTTCCTAAACTTTAGCTGATTTATTAGATGTTTCAAACAATAAGGTGTTGTTATTTACTGGATTATATATAGGGTGTAACTATTTTTGTCCGTATTCATATCAAAGGAATCCATAAAAAAGTGGTAAAAGGAATCTAGCTATGTTGGATTGCAGAATAAAACGATAACAAGAAGAGACGTTAAACTCTTGTATCAATTTAAAACCTTTCCACTTCACTTGCTACTTAGACCTCAAATCATCTCACCCTATGTCAGATAAAGCTTGTTTGTTTTAACATATAAGTAACAGGAAAAATATCTACCAAAAAGGCAGAGACTATGAGTAAAGAAACTGGAGCCCTACGTCCAAATAATTATTTACCTAAAATTATCAGTGTATTCATAAAAAAATTGTAAGAAAAATCTGAAGATTAAAGGTAACATACATGTTTATAACAACAATGATAATATTGGTAACACTATGAAGGAGGAAGTCCAAAACTTTTTCAAGTTATCATACAACAATACACCTCAAAAGAGTTACGAAGAATTGTGGATGAGGCTGGGATCATAGTACCATTTTAATAAACAAACTCACGTAGAAATAAGCTTTGTAGTTCATTAATTAAGTTTACCAACCCACCTACAATGAGTGTGAGGTCAAGTTCATAGGTCAAAAGTGTCAGTTAAGTTGCCTGACGACAGGACCCAGCTAAATCGAGATTAGCAGGTCTTAAGAGCATTGGAAAAAGCTTGTCTGTGACTAAGCATGTATTATTATTATTGTTTGTCCCTTGGGTTGCTAGTAGAATATAAGGATTCAGTAGCACCTCGCCATCTCACTCTCTTCTCTCCAGTCTTCTCAACCTGGCTCCACAACTGCCCACAAGCTCTCATTTCTTCCTCACACCATCTCCTTCATGTCACTTTGGGACGCCAAACTCGTCGTTTCCCCTTTAGATTCCACTTGAGGGTGTGGCCTGGTGTGTGATGTCCCCAAACCGCCTTCTCAGTGTATCCACAATCCATTTCCACTTTCTTCTGCATATTTGTTGGGCGATAGGTTGTCCGTTGTTGGTTCATTGCCAGCCAGAGTTCCTGCTTGCTTATCCTCATTATTCTTATCATCTAATCTTGAGTGTCAGTATCGAGTGAGCTTAGGCAGCAGCTGTTTATGTGAGGTATGTCGGCAGTTTATTGGAAATGCTTTTCGTAATACGCCAAGTCTCTCAACCACCACATAGAAGCACTGACTTACTTGACTGACATTACTGTTGAAAATCCGGATTCCGTTCACGCTTTATGCTGACTGCAGTGCAGTACAGTATATCTCCACACCGATTTCAGATTAACGCTGGAAGGCCTATGTTGCTGTCTTTCCGATCCTGGCTGCTTTGACATACTCATCTATACCTGTACCATCTGTAGTTGGAATGATGTCGTCTAGGTAGAAAGGTAGGTGAAGGAGACAACTTCCCTTAGATTCCTCCCGTTGATAGTGATAGGTTCTTGTTGTTATTGTTGTTGTTGGTTGGGTATTTTCATCACCTCTATCTTCCCTACGTTCACTTCAAGTCCCGTCTGCCAACTGTTCAGTTTTCGCCTGTAGATCTTCGAGTCCGTGTGACATTAAACATAGATCATCGTCGTCGAAATCTAAATCTTCTGGGGTCTTTTTATCAATACAGCCAGTGTATGTCCTTCTTCTTGCTCATAACTAAACAAATAGGATTAGACAAAAAGACAGTCCGCAAAATTAACTTAGTTGGGTGGAGAAAGAGTGACTGACAACCAAATCTTGGTTTGTCAAACTAGCAGCTGTTCGAGATTTTCAGAAAATTCTACAGCTTTTGTTATAAACAAAGAGGGGAAGGAATTAGTACTGTTGTAGACTTGCCTTGACATGACTACAGACAGTAATTTTTGCCCGAAACGTAATCTGATAAGTATTACTGTTTCCCTGTATGACATACTGCCGACTTTTTACTCTAATACTTATAAACGGTTCGTTGAATCTTCTCGAAATCTTCAACTAAAGAGAACCACATGGATAATGGTAAGTTAAGATGTAACCAAAAATATTCATAAAATTGGTCAACTTTATTTTTATTCTTGAGCTAGAATAAGGCGTTATTATACAATAAAGATTGAAATTTCCAGTTTCATTTTGAAAGACATACGGGATTAAAAAACATCATCCAGAATCCCTTTTATTCATCAATATTTTTGTAGTTTTAAAGAGCGGTACAGTATAATATGTATCATTCATTGATGGATAGATTGAAATGTCTTCTCAATAGACAAATAAAAAACTTAATATGTATACCCAACACTAAATGAATATAAAATTTAGTGACTGATATACATAATAAGTCTGTTTAGTTATAACGCCTTTCAAGTGTCTACTGTTCACCGCCCAATTTCGTATTCAAGTGAAACAGAATATAAATTTTAAATAACCAAGAGAATTAGATAGTCTTGAGAATGGATTCTGATGCAACAATCAGTTTGTCTATTATAGTTAGATATCTTTCTACTCATTCTCTATTTTGATACAAACAATAGGAATAATTATCAACCGTCTTATCTTTATATTCGAGTTTGTTAACTTGAAATACTCACCACTTGATAGGTAAATTTGACGTGTTTTTTTATTGCAATTTTATCCTTAAAATTTCATAATCTATCTTATCTTTTTGTTTCTATGTGTGCGTGTGCGTGTGTGTGTGTGTGTAGCAACCTACTCTCATCAAATGTACAAAAGGCGAGGAATGATTGGCAAACGTCGAGGATTTATGGGTTAACTGACATTGGTATTATAATCTAGAAGAAATGAAGAATAATTCCAACGAAAAATATAATATACATTGAAAAATATTGAAAATTTATTTCAGATCATTTATATCAATCAATTAAAGAGAGAAATTAACTACTTAGAATGTAAAAAAAATCAAGTAACTTCTCGTGTCCACTTCATCCATATTACTGATAATACTAATGATGATAATCATAATAATAACAATACATATTTATATTTGACTGATTAATTCTATTATATTGCGATTAACAAAAGACACGTGTTGTTCTAGTCACTTAGAGTGTTTACTGAAAAAACACAGTCTCCATTGTTTTACTCATAAGATGAATATGATTGGTTGATTAAAAATCAGCGTAAATACTTGAATTAAAGAAACTTCGATGGAGAAACTTGCACTCCTAGAAATTACTCATTCGACCATGAGGTTAGTCACGAAATGATTGATTTCAAGTGGGTATATTTACATCTAGGTAACCGTTGAAATTAAGTAACACTTAAAACATGTTTCATTACATTTTCAAATTCAATCGAAAATGATACGGTTCTACACTAAACTAAATTGGAAAGGAGTAAAGTCAAGTGATTAATGTTACACTAAAATTTATCAGTTTGTTTTGGTTTGACGTAATCTATTCACTGAGCTGAGTTGTTTAATCGTGAAGCTTTCATCATCTTTCTAGACAGAGACATCATCAGCACTAACTTCAGTATAAAGTGACCTGTCAATATCTCTCCGTGAGTGTATTAGTAGCTTGCCTTGACGAAGCGGTCTATGATTGGTTGCCTACTTTGATTGTTATGTCATTGATTGTATAGATTTTCCTGTTGGCTGTTCCTCTGCTTGACCTCTAACTTTTCTGTCGTTTATCACCTTTCTTACTGGTTGATAGATTGGGTCTATGTTGATACATCTGTTGATTGGTGACTGACCTGAATGCCAAGATTATAGGAATTCTCTGACGTTCTTTGTGTTTCCTCCTCTCTTGGTCCAAAATTTCTACATTGTCGAAATTGAATTCATGTCCATAGTTGTTTTCCACGTGCGTTGAAATGAGTGGCGAAATGTCTTGGCGTTTAATAGTCAATTGAACTTCATGTAGACGAAGGCGAAGAGGGTGGCAGCTTTGCCCAATGTAAAGCTGACTACAGTTATTGCAGTTGATTTAATAAATGATATTCGCTTTGTCTTCTTTGGTTGTCGCATTCTTTAGTCTGCATAATAGTATTTGGAGGGAATTTGTTGGTTTATGAGCCACACCAATTCCAAGTGGTCTCAGTAATCTTGTCGTGATTTCTGATATATTCTTTATGTATGGTAGGATGATGTGTTTATTGATTTCTGTCGATGACTTTGTAGTTGATAATGTACGGGATAGCCATCTTCTGATAGGGTTTCGTGGGTAGATGTTCTTCTCTAGGATGGCCATCAAGTAATTTTCTTCGTTTCTGCATGAAGTTTTTGTACTGCAGCATGTTCTCACTCTTTTGAATAGAGTCTGCACGCAACTGATTGTATGTGTTGTTGGGTTGTTGCTGTTGTAGTTAAGGATTTGGTCAGTGTGTGTTAGCTTCCTGTACACTGGGGTTTCCAGCTTTCCGGCATTTGTCCTACTGACTAAAACATCCAGGAATGGTATTTGGTTGTTTGACTCCTTCTCCATTGTGAATTTGATGTCATTAGTAAAAGCGTTGTTGATCAAACTGTGGGCGTTTTCTATATCATCGTTTTTAATGATGACAAAAGTGTCATCCACATAGCGAATCCAAATTTTTGGTTTTATCATAAGTAGAATAATGGCTCCCAGTCTCTGCATCACTGCTTCTGTTATTAATCCAGGTATCGGTGATCCCATTGAAGTTCCTTTCATCTGTTTGTATATCTTACCGTTGAATTGGAAGTATGTTGTTAGACAAAAGTAGATGAGTTTCATCAGACTTGAACATTTAATTTTTGTGCTCACAGAACACAATACAACCAAGACCATCCACCTGAGCTACGAATATTCTCCATTATTTCGTAATCGGTTCAATAATATTGTTTTATTGTTATGCAATGAAACAATCAACTGTAATAAAGTGTTGAAGATTTACTCTTATATTGGTTTATGTTTCTCAATGAAACTTCCAAAAATCTATCTTGAGTTAATCCACTCTAGTGAACCCCAGAATATTGATCAAATGGATATTTTCATCATAAACATTTCGATTGAAAGATAAATGTATTAAGACTTCAGGGAATAGATTTCCCCTTTCATCAGTATCACTCTCTACAACTGTACAATCACTTTTAAATGCAGTTAGTAAACATAACGTTATCAACATTTGTTAACTGGTAATTGTTAGTAGTTTGTGATCATAAAAATAATATAGGAGGCATGCAACAACTAGCTGTCGATGCGTTTTCGTCTAGTCTGTAGATAGGTACATTGTTGCAGGGTAGGGTGCATAGAGAGCAGTGTAAGTTTGGTGGAGACCACGAGAATCTGAAAAGGAAAAGAAGAGGGGAAAAAGGTGAGCCAACGACTTAACGAGTACACAAGATCTACTTATATCTTATAGTAAAAAATAACTGACAAATAGTAGAGCTTGACAACGAAAATGTGAGGCAGTCTAGAAATCGAAAGTGGAAGGTGAATGATTAAAATTTCGGATACCTTACAGGCGAATTACCTAAGAAATATGAAAGTACTTAACGATATGAGTAAATATGAGGTGAAATCATGAATTAAAGAATCCTTAACAAAACTGAGTAGACAGTTCTCATTGCCGAAGGGAATGAGTAACTGAAACGTTTAGAAGTTAAGAAGTGAATAAAGACAGGGAATAGTAAGGCTGCTTCTGAATAGACATTTTCGGTTTCGATTAATGTATTGTCAGAGCTTAGACAATGCCAAGCAAGCATTTCAATATTCAATTTGAAAGATTATGTTTTCGTTTATGGACTAGTGCCAACAATTTTCTGGAGCTGTCGATTGATCTGTGTTGACCTTCACTGGGACATGATGGAGGGTGTTAGCATCTACCTTGAACAAGCTAATCCTGAGTACGACCTATTCACTTGGCTTTACAAGAGTAAATAAAATATATGCACACGGATGAAGCTATCATTGACAATCTGTTCTTCATAAATGCGTTCACCATAGAGAGGCCAGTATGAGCCATCTGTTCGGACATCCATTCATGATAGACATTTATTTTATTAGTTGAATTTCGTCTTCTAAAGTCTTTGGAGTACAAATCTACCGGATTCGAGAAGAAAGTGAATGAATCAAATCTTTTTTCCCGTTGATAACAACGCAACTGTGCCATTTGTCCATTCCATATAGATTTCAAATAGGTAAACAGGTTAAACGTCCCACCATCTCTTCCTATTAACAGTACGTCGAAGAATGATATACTTGCCTGTGATTCCACCTTCATTTTTCAGTTGATAGCACAGTGATACACACCAAAAACTGAATTACTTACTACTAGTTACGCTTGTTGTCATAACCATCGAATGTATCATCAACCTATCTTCTATTAAATCTAGACTGTCCGATAACTGGAATGAGTATGGTTTTTCAAGTCTGACCATAAATATATCTACTAAATGTAAAGTTATTGGTGATCCCATTATCGACCCATCTCCCTTGTAGTGGAAGATGCTATTAAACCTGAATTATACATGACATGAGCACCTTCACAGTATTTCTTTGAGATAATTTGTCAGTATACCGATGTTAAATAATGTTTCAATTGATGGAACATGTGTGAGTAATGAATTAACATCGAAAGAAAAGAAAACAATCTAAAACCTTTACATTACAAATGAAATTGATAAACTCAGATGTGTCCTGTACAACATAGCTAGAAACAGTCCTTCTAATGGTTTCTAAAAGTTGAAATAACCATTTAGCAATTGAATGGTAGTGCATTCAGGATAAGTGTAAGATAAGGAACTCTGGCATCGCCTAATAAATGTGGAGAAGAAAGTGGAGATGGATTGGATTGGGCATACACTGAGAAGTCCGATTGGGGATATCATGCACCAGGCCACACCCTCAAGTGGAATCTAAAGGGGAAACGACGAGTTTGGCGTCCGAAGGTGACATGAAGGAGATGGTGTGAGGAAGAAATGAGAGCTTGTGGGCAGTTGTGGAGCCAGGTTGAGAAGACTGGAGAGAAGAGAGTGAGATGGCGAGGTGCTACTGAATCTTTATATTCTACTAGCAACCCAAGGGACAAATAGTTATAGGACTTTATTATCTGTTTTATATAATAATAAACCGATTTCTGTGAATTATAGTCGCCAACTAACGACTTGAACATTTTAAGCAAGTTCAATTGTTGACATTTCATTAAAAATCTTTAACTAAATCGATCGGTAATTAATGTTTCTGTTGATTAGTGAATATTCCCCTTTTCATTCTTGTCTTCTATGTCATTCAATAGTATAAGGATATTATTGCAGTGAGCATTATTCGTTGTTATCTGTTCAAATACGATGGCTGCAAAATCCCCACTTTGTAATTCATTACTCATTGCTTAAGAAAAGCTTCATACAGAGTATTATTCAGTCACTTCATATTCATTCAGGTTGACCTAAAATCTACTGAATAACTGATCCCATGCATCGGTTAATTCAGGTTTGTGTTGATGAATGCTGCGCGTGTTTGAAAATATCTTATCAGTCAACTTTGATTGGTCTCTTTTATCCGTTACATTGTGACCTGTTTGTATGGCTAACTGAATACATTACTGAAATACATTCCGCTGCTCAAGTTTATACTGCTAATTATACTTTTTAGGGTCAGAGTTTTATACAAAAACCACTTCGTTACTTTGTGGTCGATAACATTTCAATCTAGTTGCTGAATACCTACAATAGTCTCAGTATAGATGACATCTAACCAAATACAGTATGAGGAAAGCGATATGAAACTAAGAAAAATGCAATAATTTAAGTAGTGGCTGATGTGAATCAATTGGTTTCAAGTTAGTGTT